TACTATAAAAGTACCCAAAATACTCTTACTGCAGCTTCTTACGTTCAGATATTGGCAGCTTTACACACTCTCCCATGATGGTGAACTGAAACCCTTTGGCGTGAGTACGAAGAAAAACATTAGATGACATAGTTTTTGGGTTTGGGAGAGACAGACCGACATTTTCAACATTTTAACACATTTTTCAATAAAATGATTAGTCGACTAATCAAAGACATAATCGACCGAGTTTGAAAGACTGAATAAGTGCGAGACTTATATAACGCCGTAACATTCTCCATGCTGCTTTCTACTGTTTACTAACCTGTTTTACAGCCTGTCCGTGACGTCACACGTGACACACCAGGTTACATTCTAGTCTACCGGCAGCAGGAAGGAGTCTATTGCCTAGTTTAATCGCAATTTCATGTACACAAGGAATACGGGATTCCTCTGTATCAGCCCAACTGGGTTATTTTAAAAAGAAAATAGGTTTAAGGCCCTGTTTAGACGACAACGGCTTCTCTAAAAACGGAAAGGTCTGTCCTTTACGTTTTAAAAAAGCGTAGTTTGTAAATTTGTGTAAATTGTGTAAATTTGCAAAGCAACACCACGGCATGACGCCATGTTCCTGCGTTGAAGCGCCTTCCTCTACAACGCGGTGATTACAAACCAAAACAAAGAAGACACAATGGTGAAAGCACGCACAGATAACTTTGTCTGGATGGACGACGAGGTGGAGTTGCTGCAGTAACAGATCTACACTTCACTTCAAATCAACAGGGTGAGCAGCACAAACAGAGCTCGCCATTGTTGTTGTGACGGTCGGCATGCCTCGTGACTCGAACCATAATGCGCATGTGTGAAAAGTCTGTGTTTTCAGAGGAACTGCATATTGCACGTTCCCACGACAACGGAGACGCTGCCGTTTCCAAAAAACTGCACTCTGGAATCCGTTTTCAAAATGTTGTGTTTTCAGGCACCCAAAACGCTGCTGTTGTGTAAACAATCAGCCAAAATGCAACTAAAGTTTACTGTTTTCAGTTGAAATCGTTGTCGTATAAACGGGGCCTAAGATTAGACTTTAGCCGCCTGGGGGCATGCCCCCCCCCCCCCGGAAGACAATTTTGAACATCTGACATCTAAATGAATTAATCTGATGCATCTTTACATCAGTTGAGGCTTGAACTCACGACCTCTGACACCAAAGAGCATCTTCTATCTGACTGAGCTAATTAGCAAGTGATAACTCATCTGTGGCTTCACAAATTATCTCTCACCCCCTCTCTCTCTTTCTGTATGTGTGAACTGCAACCCGCAACCTGTAGCCATTTCTGTGTGTGTGTGTGTGTGTGTGTTTTCATCTCTCTCGTGTCTAGACCAAACTGAACAAATATTTACAGACGGACAAGCAACATCATAATTAAACAGACTTTTATTTTTTATTCTGAAAATTGGACGGATTCTCTCGTCTTTTCTGTGCCCAACTTCCTGTTTGGTACGATCCGCTCTATCCAGCTTGACAGAAGCGCTCGCGGCTCGCGTGAAAAATAGACCAGACGCCAAACTGAAGCGCTGCAGTGCGCGAGCCTCTGTGGACAGTCAGATAGGTTAACATGGGCGCCGATTGAAAACTGCCTCCGCTGCTGGGTGCTGCGCTTCAGTTCCGCATCCGGTGTGTCCGTGGCGTGACTGAATGAGAGACTGAAAACTTAAAGCCCGCCCTACTCTGCCTCTGATTGGCTAGAACTCCTTGTTAACCTTGAGTAATGTGATACACCATTGGTAGTTGGAACTATCACTATCACAGTGGGGGAAAAAGTCCAAAAAAGTTAATAACTTACAAATTATGGTGAAAAGGTAGTTTCTTGCAACCCTAGAATTAAGATAAAAATATTCACAAACAAAAAAACACTTCTGGTTGCTGATAAGTAGTGTTTAACTTTTGATTTAACACTAAAAATTAAAACCCTTGGTGTGCACTGCAGCACAAGCAGACAGATGCGTGACTCAGAGCCACATGTGTCACTGACACCAGACTCAGAGCGCAGCGGACCGGTTAAAAATGTCACCATCAGCATATTATTTTACATCAATAAAATCTATTTTATCATTATTTTGAGTCACATTGTTGAAAGAATTTAGTCATCTGTGTTCAAGCAGAATAATAGGTCTCCATTCATTGCACGTTGGGCTTTCTATTTCCTTGTCGGAGATGTTTTCTTTTTTAATTACATGATAGCTATTCTCCCATAACTCACCAGTAAAGAATACCTTTGTCCATTTCAAATAACCCGTGGCAATAATAATATCCCTGTTCTCTGATTTACTGTGAAACTTTTTTTAGGCAATTCATGCAACAATCAGACCAGATGACTATTTTACTCGGCCTAATGGGGTTAGTGTTGCGTTAAAGGTCCCCCAAAAAAACGGGAGAAAAAAAAGGCAGAATATTCGATTTTTTTTTTTTTTTCCCCACAATCGAATCCCGTGCCGTCGAACGAAGCTTCAAATTTTTTGGGTCAGCCCTACATATTACACATGTGTACTCTTATTGTGACGGCACACCAGCAGGTGGAGACATGAAATACAATACTTTACAATATATGTGTCACATTTGTATAATTAATGTTAGTTAGTTGTTATTACCTGACCCTTTCAGGCCTCCATAGTCAATATGTGGAACCTTTGATACTCAGTTTCTGTTCCCCTACGTTCACCTTTGGGTGTACCCTACCTTACCTCTCCCCTTCTGCTGTGTACTCCATGGGAGAGGTGAGACGCATTATTCTCCTAGTAATGTCTGTGTTTTAGTGCTGTTAACTGTTTATAAGTTCATTTTATGCTGACATGTTCCTGTGTCATTTAATTTGTGTAGAAGCTCCAGTTAATATGGTCATAACTGAGTGAGGATTTTGTTTTTACCTCTCGCTGTCAGTTGTCAGGAATAATCAGAGATCACCTCCGCAGATATCCACGGCCTGGACCTCTTTATATCAACACGATGCAGACATCACCAGAGTCCACCAGTTATATTATATTGTATTCATTCACTGTGAAATCTAACACAAAGCATGTTGGCTGGTGTTGATTTTTAGGGCCGTTTCATAGTTGACGCAAAGGTACGCAGAGACGAACGCATTAGAATGCATCGAGACGCATTGGCCGCCATGATGCGTGCTTGCGTCTCAAAATGTGTTGTCCATTTTTTTGATACGCGAAGCAGCGACGCGTGTAATACCATGCGTTGCCAGCGGGGGTGGTAATGCAAGCGATGTACTTGAAATTAAGCAGTTTTTGTTATTCACAGAAGAAGCAGGTATGAAGTATGGCGGGCGAGGAGGAAAAACTTTGCGAACTCGTACGGGCACACCCCCATTTATATGACAGTTCTAGTGCCCTGCACTCTAATAAAATAGTAGTACCAGCTAGCCAGAACGTACCGGTGACTCTGCTACCCCCTGTTGCGCAGGCCATACTTGCGTTCAATGTGTTGACTATAAGAGTAAGTGTGTTGCTCGCGTCTCTTGCTTGCGTTGCATGAATCGACTATGGAATGGCCCTTAAGCCGATATCAGCCAATACCAATGACGCATCGATATTATCGTCCGTCACTATTAATTTTAGATGAATAACTGACTTTTTAAGGATCCGTAGTAACTGTGTGTGTGATTTTTATAAAACAACCCATATGACGAGAGAGGCAGGAGGCCCCCAGTGCACATGTGTCATATCATCTCATTCATGATAACGCCGATATATTTTGTCAACATAGTGACGTCATACTGTTACCCACGGCAACAACAAGCATGGCTGAAAGTGAAATTACTCCCGACTCCTCTGTGGTTCCAGAAAGAGGAGCAGCTTCAGTAGTGTGGAATAAAGTGTGGCATCCTGAATGTTTTCCTTCTCTTAGCGCTCAGAGGGAACTCATTCAGCGGCTCCTCTGGCAGCAGCACAGCGTCTCTCCCTCTCCTCTCTGATTCTGTCACAAACCTTTGCTGATGTAAACCTACGTGAATAAACTCCATATATGTGACTGTCTCATAACAGCCTGTCAAAGGTTACAGCCTGATGGTTAGAGGAGAAATGGCAGAGCATAAAAACAGAGAAGGAAATCAGCTGTTGATTTATATATATAGATCCCAGGGGACATTTGTTTAAATGTGTAATTAGTGGTAGATTTGATTTAGCTGAACTATTAATATCGTGACAGAATCTGAATCTGACTCTGAGTTACTGTTGTTGTTCACAAACTAAAGACATGAGAGATCATTTTAGTTTTTATTTAAGATTTGACGCAACCTGTAAAACTACATCACTGATCCTGTTGCAATTATATCTTCTTTAAATTTTATTTTTTCACTAATGTGTCACATTGTCAAGAATATTGCAAAAAATACCCTAATATATCCTGATATTATTTCAGGGCCATATCGCCCCCAGGTATTTTCTCATGATCCAAAACTTTGGACCCCCTTGTCCTCTGCACCGGGGCCCAGCATGTGGAGCTACGCCCCTGCCTACGCCTTCACATATGTGGGCTAAGACAGTTTTCTTGAGTTTGTACGTTGATATCTCCACAGTGGCAGAACGGATTTTTATCATTCAAACTGCATTTAAAACGTCCACCCCCCTTCCTTCGTTGGTAGTTTGAACCGTGAAGCTAGCCCTCACCGATCTCTGGAAATGTTCGTTAATATGAGAGGACCCCGGGAACATCGGAATGACCCCCGTTTAACAGCATACAGCTGACATCTGGCAGTCCGGACAGCTAAGCTAAGAAGCTAACTCATTAGCTGCCGCCCGGATTGATTAACTTGTGTAACCGGGCTGTGTGAGCGCCCTGCCGGCGGAGAGGCGGGTAGGAAGCACCGTGATCCGCTGAAAAAAAACCCGAGTGAATTAAGTGTTAACGGGGCTGGGCTGTCATGAAGCTCACGTTTAGCCAACTAGCTGTGACAGCAGCGTCCGTTAACTTCCTGCACCCACCGGGGAGAAAAGAAAGAAATGTCACGTACCTTTAATCGGTCGTTCAGTGGTGGAGAGTTTGTTTTGGTCTTTCGCCGACATTCTGCCTCCTCGTTCGGCTGCGCGTCGCAAAAATCGCTAAATTACTAACTAAACTTGATGAATTCCTTCCGAGCTAGCTAGCTAGCTGCAGTGAGCTAGCCGCGCTAGCTAAGTTCGGCTCGGAGCAGCTTCACTCCGCAGACAGACCGAGCCGAGCCGAGCCAAGCCGAGCTGAGTTAAAGCCGCCGGTGGAGGAGGAGGAGGAGGAGGCGGAGGAGGAGGAGGAGGAGGAGGAGGAGGAGGAGAGCTCCTTCACTAACAAATTAAAGCGTTCTGCCCTCCGCTGTGCTCCGCGGTGCGCTGCAGGGATGCCGAGCCGCTGTCAGTGTGTGTCAGGCGGATGGACTGGTCCAGGAAACGGCCCGGGCACCGCTGATGATGCCTTCAGGTGCAGCGCGTCAGATCATATCTCAACTTTATCCCTTTATTGTCGTTACAGGCCGCCGCCGCCGCTGGGCTCCGCTCCTCTGTCGTGATCCGAGGTGTCGTCCAGACCCTCTCTGTCGGATTACAATAATCCGCCGCCCGCAAGCGGATTTCCTACAACATGGCTCAACGCGGGGGGCTGTGGGTAGTGTAGTATTAATGTGATATTAATGCGGCGCGTTCACGGTCCGCTGAGCCCCGCGGACACTCAGTGTGTTCACCGCAGCGGAAAACACACACACGGCTGATTTACTCTCAGATTAAATTTACAGATTGGATTTCTGTCTGAAGTCAAACATTAAAACGATCATTTAAAAAGTTGTTGACTGACTTCGTCGAGTTTTAACAGAAACTGAAATTCACAGGAAAAGGCAGCGGCGGGAAGAAACTAAGGGACTGTTCGTTATTTCTGAGGGCTGCGAGAAGGAGAGGCGTGTGAAATGATTTCTTTAAACACTTGGAGGAACCTGTGTTTGTTATTTTGTCTTAGAGGAGGAGCATACTGTGGCTGTATTTTGTATTTATTTATTTCTAATGTTATTTATTTATTTAGTTATTTTTTGCAGTTTATTTTTGACACAACTTGAAGGCTTACATTAACCAATAACTGCTGTCAACATCAGCACGCATACGCAGTCAGGTACATTAAAATTATTTTAAATGAAACCATGTCTTCATTAAAAATCACCAAAATGACACTGTTTATGAAAAAGTAAATTCAGAAATTTTCAACTTTCAAACACCAGAGGGTTTAAATGAACACAATAACTCATTTATGGTGGAGGGAGGCTCGTGCATTTTGTATGGACGTATGTATTGTATTTATACATTTCACACTGACAGCCTCAGCACACTGATGATATACATTTTATTTCTTAATATTTTAATATCTTAAGTGTTAAACACTGTGACGTGATGTACATTCTAATTTTATTTTACTTAATGCACATTTTCAGTTCTACTTTATTTTATTGCTTTATATTTACACAGTTTTATTTCATACTCTTATTCTTACTTGTTACAGTTCTCTATTCTTTACATCGGAGCGACTGTAAGAAATCACTATTTGCCCTCTGGGATCAATAAATTATTTCTGAATCTGATTCTGATTTTCCACCCATCACTCAGGCAGGCTCAAGGAAAAATATTTGTAGCTCCGGGGAGGGTCACAAAATAAATAAATAAATGTTAAGAGATATTTATCGCAATAAAACCTTATGATATTTGCCTCTGAGAGGAGCATCGAAGGGAAATAAATAAGTACAAATAATTCAGAATTGTACAGTGACCTCCTTGGTTACTTTCCCCCACTGGAAATATTGTAGTTTTTACTGCAAAATATAAATAAACTAATTAATGTTAATGTATTATTGGAGATTAAACCACCAGTTTTACCAAATTTTAGTTGTAACAGAGGATTCCTACACTGTAAAATATCTCAGTAGCCTAAAATTAGCAGTATAAAGGTGCAAAAATATTCCATTACAACAAGTCCTGCATTACAAATAAGCAAAATTGCAGAGGCTGCAAATTATCACTAAAATGTACTTTAAAATGTATTTAGTTTGCATGAATGGAACAAGTTAACTTAGCAGCATTTTAATAATATAAGATGTTAATGTGCAATATAATCTGAGCACAGCTGTCTGAATAAATGTAAAGGAAAAGGTACAATATTCCCTCGTTACTCAAGTCAAGTACAATAACCTCAAAACTCTACACAGATAGGCTGTTTTATTTTATTTTATTTTCAAGATGGAGTTTTTATGCACCAATGGGCTGCATAATAATAATCAATCATGTAAAGAATAGAGAATTATAAGAAGTGAGAAGTTTGAAGAGATGTGAAAAATATTGTAGTTAAATAATTGCAGTGTAATTATAATAACAATACTAATAATGGTTTTCAGTCATTTCTGAGTACATTTAAAACTTGTTTTACATTTGTGCCAAACTCCATTGACAAATTTCACAATTTAAGGTTGTCTTGTTTTCAGTTTGAGGTACTTGTTATTTAACAGGTGAACCTGTCTGTAATTTTGGATTGTAGATTGTATTAAAACACCTTAAACAGTATTTTGAGGATAAATTTTACTTTTCTTTTACTTTTACATTTAATTTAATTTTCAGCTCACCTGCAGGTCTGTCAGTCCCTTCCAGCAAACACAGGACTGGGAGGGCGCGTTACTGTTGTAAAAGTTAAATTTTTAGTACAATAAAGTGCTTCTTTTTCAGTCCTCTGTGTGCCGAGTCTGAGCATACACTCAGATAATCATGATACAACACAATAAGTCATCTGTCAGTTTATTTCTTTGCCTTTATTTAAAGACATGTTAAAACTGATGGTTTTTTCTAAGGAGTTTGGTGCTGCTTCAGCTTCACAGATTTGACCTCAGCACCTGAACATAAAGCTGATAAAGCTGCAGGTCACTGAGTCTCTCTCCTGTGTACAGTAACCTCCACATGTAATACTTCTGTCTGCCACATGAACACAACACGAGGAGCTGAGCAGAAGGACGACAGCGCCGCCATGTTGACGCTGATCAAACTGCTTCAGATACAACAACATGAAAGTGTTAACAAACATACTGACATTTATAAGAGCTTTGTACTTAAGCTGCAGAGATATTTAATATGCTGAGTCGAGCTCAGAGTGAACAAAGATGAAACCAGATCACAGGAGAGAATTAAAAGTTGTTCACATAAACTGGGACAGACTGGTTTCCAGTAACTCCTCACTACTGGAGCTTGTGAGAAGAATGTACAGTAGTACAGTAGATAGATAGATAGACAGATAGATAGATAGATAGATAGATAGATAGACAGATAGATAGACAGATAGATAGATAGATAGATGGATAGATAGATGGATAGATTGATTCACACTGTTACTCAGAGGTGGGAATAAATACAGACCAGTAGAAGACAGAGAGTCAATATAACATAATAACAAAGATAATCTTTATCATCTGTCATAAAGCGACAGGAACTCTCCTTTAACGAGGCTGAGCACATAATACATATTTAAAACAGATTTAAACACACACACACTAACATTTATAAAACAGGACTGAAACTATCATGAACAGTGTTACCAGCTCAGAATACGCTGCCTGTTTTCATTTGTTCAGGGTGATGATCACAGAGGGAAGAAGAGACCAGCAGAGAGCAGCTCCAGTTGTACCTTAGTGAGACGTCAGCAGCATTTCCAGCTGCGACTGTGTGCACAAGTTTTCCTTGCATCCTTTTTCCTCAAGGAAAATTTCTTCCTACTGCCCACTGGGTCGCTAAAACTTAGTGTTTTTAGGTGCCATTTTTCCAGCGGCGATGTGCCACCTACATCTGGTGATTTTTTAATGAGTCATTGGCTGCATTTCCAGCTGTGATTGTGCCACCAAAAGTGAGCGTTTTTTGTAAGACATTGGTGGCATTTCACAGGTGATTGTGACACCTTAAACAGGTGTTATTTTAGTGAGTCATTGACTGCTTTCCCAGCAGTGATTGTGCCACCAAAAGTGGGCGTGTTGTAGCAAGACATGAGCAGCATTTCTAGCTGTGATCGTGCCACATTAAGCAGGCTTTTGTAGTAAGACATTGGCGGGATTTTTCAGGTGACAGTGTTGCCTAAAACAGGTTGGTTTTTATAGCGAGTCAGTAGCTATGTTTCCATCCAAAAGTGATTTGAATCATTGAGAAATGCGCATTAAAAGAAATACGAATCCTGTGTGTTTCCATTAAATGTACGGACTTTGGTGAAAACTACAAACTCGCGCAAGTTTTCCGCAGAACCGGAAACAAAACAAGTCTCGCATTCTTCTTCTTCTACGTTTTCTGGCGGTTGGCAACCAGCTTGTAAATGCATTACCGCCTTCCCGACCCGGAGTGTGGATATCACCATGGAGAGAGGTGCGCTACGTCAGAGTTAATTCAAACATAACTGTTTCCATCCCCCGTTTTGTGAATCAACATTTTTTCAAATCAACCAAAACCCGGCTAAAGCGAGCGTATTTTAGTTTGTGTGAATCAGGGGGTTTTAATTTGAATTTTGGCGTTTCCATCATAACATTCCAATGCGATACTTCTAGATGCGTCTCTCAACAGGCTAACATGGCTAGTGACTGCTTTTCTAGCAGAAAATATGCCACCTATCACGGATGTTTTGTAGTGAGTCATTGGCTGCATTTCCAGTGGTGACTGTGCCTAATTAAGCGGGTGTGTTGTAGGAAGACATCAGCAGCATTTCCAGCAGTGATTGTGCCACCTTAAGCAGGCTTTCAGGTGACAGTGTTACCTAGAACAGGTGTTTTTTTAGTGAGTCATTGACTGCATTTCCAGCTGTGATTGTGCCATCTAAAGTGAGCGTTTTTTCTAAGACATTGGTGGCATTTTTCAGGTGACAGTGTTACCTAAAACAGGTGTTTTTTTCTGGGTCATTGGCTGCTTTTCCAGCAGTGACTGTGCCACCAAAAGTGGGCGTGTTGTAAGAAGGCATTGGCAGCACTTTACAGGTGACAGTGCCACCTAACACAGATGTTTTTTAGTGAGTCATTGGCTGCATTTCCAGCTGTGATTGTGCCACCTAAAGTGAGCGTTTTTTGTAAGACATTGGTGGCACTTTTCATGTGACAGTGTTACCTAAAACAGGTGTTGTTTTAGTGAGTCATTGGCTACTTTTCCAGCAGTGATTGTGCCACCAAAAGTGGGCGTGTTGTAGGAAGACATGAGCAGCATTTCTAGCTGTGATCGTGCCACCAAATCAAGATATTTTAAGCCCAAACATCACATTTTTAAACACATTTTTATCACCATAACCAAGTGATTTTTGTGCCTAAACCGAACCGCACATTAACCACACAGTACCAACATTTATTCTGACTATTGATGTGTTTATTAATTACATGTTTGTCCTTGTTATGTTGAAACTCAGATGATCAGCTGCAGGGATGTGGGAGGATGTTTCATACAACTGGTGTCTTAAGTTGAAAATAAAAAGTCATATTTAAGTTTGTAAGTATATAAGTGTCTTTATAAAAAAATAAAAAGCCTGAAAGTCACAGAAGTTCTCCTCCTCCTCCTCCTCCTCCTCCTCTTGCTCCTCCTCCTCCTCCTCCTCCTCCTTTGTCTCTGAT